TATATATATAGACAGATGGATGAATCTGACCTCCTCGCTAGTTGACTTGTCCTGCCGTTGACCTGGCGAAGAAGTCAAAAGATCCGGTAAGACCGAGCTGGGACGCGAACCCGGAGATGAGTCCGATCTCTGGAAATCGCCGCTACCTCCGCCTCTCGAACGGTCGCCACCTTCGCGATTCTGCAAACCAGTGAATCTCCACTTTAAAAAAGTGATCAATCGAAATAACGAATGAAAGAAAGAGTAAAGATAGAAAAGAGATTCTATCGAGACTTAAATTCTTATTTGATTATTTTTCCCACAAATTCTTTCTAATCCTGACCATTCTTCATTCCCATACACAGAACTGACAACAGATTATTTTCTTTGCTTACTCTATATATATAATAAAGAATTCAAGTCTCGATACTGCCGTGGTATGTACGTACGTTAAATAAGGAACAAATTATGCTAATTAAAGACTAATAAGAGTCAGCTTAGGAGGAGTGCGCAATATTAATGTGGAATGATGACTTAACTCCAATTGTTTCGTGATTTCATCTTCTTTACTCAAAGTATTGAACGTTTCGACTCTCTTTGGAATCTTCCTCAGCAAATAATCATCGCAGAATAATCCGGTAGTCCATCAAGAAAAGTCAATCTATAGGTTTCCAAGTCTGAAGTGGATGCGCTGATTCAAAAGTCAATTATAAGAACTGAATTTCAACTGTAATTGATGATGTTCTTGAATTCAATAATTATAAGATTTAGTCATTATATCGGAATTTTAATTACAACATCCGGAGTATCGAACGTATCTGACGTTAATTTTAAACTTACAAAGGTCGAGAACATAACATAATCGAGACAATAACAAGCATAAATAAATGATATATAAAAACGAAAAGTTAAAAGTCTTAGTGTATACATATGTAAACTTCGATGATTGAGAACATGTTGGCATTCTAATTTTTGAAATTGTTTAGCATCGACGCATAAGAGTGATGCAGTCCTTCAGTATCAGAACGCAAGTTAAAATCATTTTTTTGCATATGTATGCTTTTTCGGAAATCAAACGTTTATTTTAAAGAAACTTTAGTGTCAAGTATCGTATTATTTTCCCAATCAAATTCGTAGCTGAAATTTAATGTATGGTCCGTGATTACCAATTGATTTTGTGTATTCCAGTTAATGTGATTTCGATGTTCGGATATTCTAGTACTAATTTTCCTGCCTGTCTGCCCTTCGTAGAATGCATCACAATCCTTACAGTAAATCCTATTATCTGCATTTTTATTTGCGTTTTTTGGGAGCTTATCTTTGTGTATTCTGATGAATTTATTGAGTTTGTTATTATTGTAGTAAGATAGTTTGAAGTTTTCCTTCTTAAAAATCGTCTGAATTTATTCTTAGTTGATGAAGAATATAATATTAAAAACCATGATCCTCGCACATTATCCTTCTCAACATAGTTATTATTACTACTCTCCTGTTCTAACGAAACAAAAATTTTAGTCAAGTTTTAATGGCATTAAAAATAAAATCCGCAGGGTAGTCATTTTTTAAAAGAGTATGAATTGCAAGCCTAATATTTTTGTCATGGAATTCAGGATCTGTGAGCAATGTAGCTCTGTTAATCGTTCCTATCACTGTGCCTTTTTTCTGAGAAATGGGGTGTGAAGATAAATAATTGAGATATTGTCCTGAGAACGTGGATTTGTAATACCAATCAAATTCTAAATTGTTATTGCTTTTAATATTTGTTATATCTAAAAAATTTAGTCTCTCACCTCCACTTTTGCAAATCCCTAACTTTTTTAGTTAAATTATTTAGAGGATTTTTTGTCAACTTAGTATATGTGTTAGGATTTCCAAGAATCTCCTTTGTTTAATTTTTTCAATATATTTATTTTTGTTTAACGCTATTGTAATGTTACCCTTATCTGTTTTCGTAAAAATAATATTGAGATTGTTTTTTAGGAATTGTGTAGTAATTTTTACCAAGAGAGACAGTCTTTCGATAACCCATTTATTCATAAGAAAAGTGCATAAAAATTTCATCAAAATCGAATTAGCTAAGTTTCTGATGTTCATAATATAATATTTGCGCCTCCTTTTTTTTTAAAATTATTTTCAATATTTTTTATGAATTCAATAAGTATGTTTTCATTGCATAATAAAGGTAAGGTAAAATTCTCATCTAATTGCAATAATAACTTTTTTGGAATTGAACATCCAGACAAGTTGACAAACCAACCCTCTTTATTGCAAAACAGTGAAGATTTAGGAGGATTGTTTAAACTTCTTTAGCCTCGATTTTCACTTCTAGTTTTTCTTTGGATAGATCGCAATTATTATTTTGGAATGAAAATTTAGGTTCCCTCTGAGTTACAGGTGTTATTACTATCTTTTTGTTGTTTATCCAATTCTGCAAAGTAATGAATAGGTTTAATTTTAATCTACGTTTTCATTCTATCTTTTTGAGAACGTTCATTTTAGTTTTTTTTTATAATTTAATTTCTTCGCGTCTTAATTGATTCTGGAACGTATATTCTTGTCTTGCAAAGAAATTGTTACAAACTGCTATTGAGATGTGATTTAAGATACTTTTTTAAATACGTATTGTATATTATTTCTTTTTTAGAATGATTGACTGATCTATGTATATCGTTCAGCTCAATTTTAAAAATCCTTTCAATGAATTGTTTGTTAGCATGTTTATAATTATTATATATTTACAGATCTAAAATGAAAAAGGTCAAGCCTGCAATTCAAATGGTTTAAATACTGAGGGACATTGTGTCTCATGCATTCTTTAACAGATTTAATACGAAATTTTCTTCTTTGTAATATACTTATGATCAATCCAAAGTTTCATAAATTTTACAGAAATAATGCCAAAAATTACAGAAATAAAATTCAAAAAAGATTTAAAAATTTGATAAGCTGACAAAAAATCCTCTAAATAATTTAACTAAAAAAGTTAGGGATTTGCTTACAAAATGGAAAAAGAGTAATTTTATATATCAGAACATACAAGAAAATTTATCGCATGGAAATTTGCCCAGAGCTTCCGTCCTTGCAAAAGTTCACAAATCAAGAGTTCCATTCAGAATCATAATATCGTTAGACAATCCTTTGTACACGCTAGCAATGTTTTTACATGACATAATTTCAAAAAATGTTAAACCTTTTAGTAATGTAGATAATATATAGTTTCCAGCTTATAAGAAAATTGAAAGGCATACACGTAAGAAATGATTATACTTTAATTTCTTTGAATGTGATATCATTGTTTACGAATAATCTGATTTTGACTTACAAGGGAACACAACCAAATAAATCTCTCCGATTTAAATAAGCTTTTAGTATGTTGTTCTATAGACAAAAATAGGAGACACATATTTTTTTATACGTACTGAGTCGCACATTAAGGGGATGAAATTCTCCTTTGAAAAAAAAAACGGTTTTTTTCTTTCAGATTGAATATCGTCGAAACTATAAGAAATAAAAAAAATTTTCAAATGAATTTTCAAACGTGAATGGTTTTAAGAATATTTTAGAACTATACTAAAAAAATATTTTTTTAAATTATTTATAATAAAAATTATTTAATTATAAAGAAAAAAATGGTTTTATTATAGTTCTAAAGTATTAAAGTATTATACTAAAATCATTCAAGTTTTATTTAAAAAATTTTTTTCTATCTCTTACAGTTTTGATAATATTTAATCTGAAAGAAAAAATTTTTTAAAAACAACATACTAAAAACTCATTTAAATCGGAGAGGTTCACTTGGGTGTGTTCTCTTGTTAGCTGTAAAGAATGTAGCCAACAGATGGGAATACTTTAAGAATAAAATAAATATCCCAAAAGATGAATTTGTAAGCAATGAAATTAATATTAGATTCAACATTTTTCAGCTTCGATGAAAAATATTATAAACAAAATTTTGATATTCTGATGGGATCATCACTTTCTTCGATCATTGCAGATTTGGTTTTACAAGATTTAGACACTTGGCTATTAACACTATAGGATTACAATTATTACTTTTACTTAAAATATGTAGATGATATAGTTCCTTCTGATTAATAGATAACATATTAAAAATCTTTAATTCATAACAGACTTTAATTTACAATGCAAAATAGAGGTGAGAGAATAAACTTTTTAGATATGATAATAATTAAAAGCAACAATTTAGAATTTGATTGGTGTCAAATTCACGTTCTCAGGGCGATAGCTCAATTATTTATCTTTACATTCCATTTCTCAGAAAAAAAAGGCACAGTGATAGGAACGATTAACAGAGCTACATTACTCACAGATCCTGAATTTTATGACAAAAATGTTAGGCTTGTCATTCATACTCTTTTAAAAAAATGACTACCCTGCGGATTTTATTTTTATTACCATTAACACTTGACTAAAATTTTTGTTTCTCAAACGTGCTTAATTAGAACAGGAAAATAATAACTATGTTAAGGAGGATAATGTGCGAAAACCATGATTTTTAATATATTCTTCATCAACTGAGAATAAATTCAAGATGATTTGTAAGAAGGAAAATTTCAAACTATCTTACTACAGTAATAACAAACTCAATAAATTTATCAGGATGCACAAAAATAAGCTTCCAAAAAACGCAAATAAAAATGTAGATGATAGGATTTACTGTAAGGATTGTGATGCATTCTACGTAAGACAGGCAGGAAAGTTAGTACTAGAATATTCGAACATCGAAATCACATTAACTGGAATACACAATACCAATTGATAATCACGAACCATACGTTAAATTTCAACTATGAATTTGATTGGAAAAATAATATGATACTTGACACTGAAGTTTCTTTAAATAAACGTTTGATTTCCAAAAAAGCACACATACATATACAAAAAAAAATGGTTTTAATGCGTTTTATACTAAAGGACTGCATCATCCTTATGCGTCAATGCTAAACAATTTCAAAAATTAGAATGCCATTAGAATGCCAACATGTTCGTTCTCAATCATTGAAGTTTATATATATATATATACAACTAAGATTTTTAGCTTTTGTTTTTATATATCATTTATTTATACTTGTTGTTGTCTCGATTCTCGCCTTTAAGTTTAAAATTAACGTCGACATTCCGGATGTTGTAATTAAAAAATTCCGATATAATGACTAAATCTTATAATTATTGAATTCAAGAACATTATCAATTACAGTTAAAATTCAGTTCTTATAATTGACTTTTGAATCAACGTCCACTTCAGACTTGAAAATCTGTAGAGTGACTTTTCTTGACGGACTACCGAATTATTCTACGATGATTGTTTGCTGAGGAAGATTCCAAAGAGAGTCGAAACGTTCAATACTTTGAGTAAAGAAGATATCACCAAAAAAATTGGAATTAAGTCATCATTCTACATTAATATTGCGCACCCCCTCCCGCGCTGACATTTATTAGTCTTGAATCGGTTATTATGGTTATTTTAAGAAATGAGAGTCTTGTTAAGATATTTTATTTTATTGCTAATTAGAGAGATAGAACGATTACATCGAATGTCCATCGAGAAGCAGGATTTAAGGATTGATAATTATAATTAACGAGGAAATAATGCTAGCAAATATAAAGAATAAATTAGAAAGGAACAAATTATGAAAGTGCGGATTACGTCACGAGAAAACAAAAAGCAAGTAGAGGCAATGAAAGAACAAAAAAAGGACAGAGAACTACAAAGGACGTGAGAAAGCTATGAAAAAACAGATAATGAAAATCAATGTAAAATAAAATAACAAAAATAACGTCGAAGAACTTATTTCGATGGTGTATCTAAAAAGAGATTATGAGTTATTGATTTCTTCTTCTCACGGATACGCAACAAAAAGTTGTATGACTTAAATCTTATTGATCAACATACATGTGCAATACGTAAAAAAAAAACCGCTATCACTCAAACCCAATTAGCTGGTATCAATCGTATTTGGTTGCTTCTTAAATTTATCTTATTCAACGTAACATCATTAATTCACCGAACGTTCTCTCAATTTATCTTATTATAATGATTTACGAGAGGCTCTAATATTCATTATCCTAAATTTTGTTATGCTAATTTCAATAAAAATGTAAATGAATAATTTAAATAGGAAATACAATGAGTTACAATCGCTAGCATAAAAAAGATACAAACTTACACAATAAGCAAAAAAAATTTAATAAACTGATAATATACAACGATTAATACGTTATCGTGTGCTCCTATCATAGCAAACTAGGCTTATACTAACAAGCTTTTATTTCGTGCGACATTATATATAACAGTCATACTCTTTCGAATTCTCGGCTAATGAGCATGAGATAAGGATATCTGAAATTCAATCCTCGATTCTCAGGAGCCCTTTCCTGATACACATTAGCCTTTAAACGAAATTTCGGCGATTGGAACAGACACAAAATCATTACACGCGTCATGCCGGAAGAACACATAAAAGACAAAATAAAGCATGCTTAGCACGTGCTTGAACGCACGAAGACACAAGACATGGTCGCTGTCCTAATGCGCAGATCTCAACGAGGCATAACATTGTACATATCGGAAGCGTCATGCAAGACGATGCTAGTGATAATAGACACAGCCTTGTACAAAGTGATCCATCGTTTATTTCCTGTTTCTCGACTTCTCTGAAATTGTTCTCTGCCTTAATGCCGTCCTCTTCTCTCAGTATTTCAATCTTTGTAACATCGTCTCCTTCATTTTCTTCTTTTCTTTCTTATATTTTCTCTTGGTCATATAGGATCATACATGATATTAGAAATTGTAATATTAACACAAAATTAACATACTAGATCGAATTTGATCGTTATCATTTCTCTCTCTCTCTCTCTCTCTCTCTCTCTCTCTCTCTCTCTCTCTCTCTCTCTCTCTCTCTCTCTCTCTCCCTCTCTCTCTCCCTCCCTTTCTTTCTCTCTCTCGATCTCTCTTGTTCTCTCTCACTTTCTGTTCTTTCTCATTTTCTACTTCTTTCATTCTTGGGATACAAAGATTTGACTCGAGTAAATAGGATTTCTGAAAGACAGATACTATCAAAAAATATGACGGCGATTATTATTGCATTGTTCATGTGTTTAGTTGTATTTTATTAATTCACATGTTAATATTTAAAGAGCCAATATTGTCATATCTCACAAAACTGGCTCTGTTGTACGATTATTTTAGTAAAAAATTCAATATAAACATTTTCTTATCAGTAAAAATTGTATTTCAATAGAAATATTAAGAAAAAAATTTAATCAAAATGAAGAATTCTCGATTATAAAATCGATTCTCGTACTTTGGATGTATCTATCAATATCACAAATATTCTTCCACACATGATTTTAATTCGAAAAATTTTAATTCGAATGATAAAAAATTTTGTCAATAATTCTTATTTAAATACTGCACTTTCAATTATTTCCATAGATATGTTAACAAAAATGAAAGTATCAAATAGAAGAAAGATCACATTGAAACATGTTAATGTAATAATCAGAAAAAAATCATGATTTGGCATTACAAATTTTCGGCAGTATTTTTTATTTTTTGCCGAATCCCGCGGCGTGTCGTTGCGTCGGTAGTAACAACATTGTCGAATATCTCGAAGAAATTCCATAATCCTCAGATTTCGTATTTTCGCCGCAGAAATGATGTTTGCCGCTTTTCCACATAGTATAGCACTCATCATAATAGAGGACAAGGCTCACAAGGGCTTTGTCAAGGACAAGGACACAGTGATGAATGGAAAACAGAGGAGAATCTTATCGAGTAGCAATTAATAATTCGACATCTCTTTTGTGTTGACCATATCCTCATATTAGTGAGTATTCACGCAAAATTCTGCAACCGTATTGACAGACATTTCAAAAGCATTGAACAAATAGAATCATCGTATAACGATTAAGGTAACCCAAGTGAAGAAAATCGCTGAAGAAAATAATGCTCATTAATGCTACTCAACAAATACATTTGCAAAAAGCCTCTTGAAGAGCGAAGGAAATAGTGAATATATTTTATCTTAGCAGCATCTCCTAGCAAAAATCTCCCATGTCCTTAGTAACAAGTAGAAACTAGTAATATTATTAGTGTCTACTAATAGTAGTAGCAATAGTAATATTAATGGTAGTAATGGTAAAGTAAATATAACAGAAGTAGTAATAATAGTAATGTTAATAATAGCGAAATTAGTATTATAGAGATTATGATGTATTGTATTAATTTAATACAATGCGATATTTTAATACGACGTTACGCTTTGAAAATCCCATTTTCACATGAAAATAATGAAGAACGTAATCGAAGAATATGTCAGAGATGATATTAATATAACTAATATATGACAGTACTGATAGCACTAGTATTAATAATGTATCGCTGCTACTTATTTGACGAAACGTGAAAATGAATAACACAAGAAAAGAAAATGCGCCTAAGAGTCGAACGTAGCTGACTAGTTTTCTATATAATCGTTATGCCGCTGGATGTCGAAAAATCAGTTACGATTATCTCAAAAGGAAACGTGAAAAATCGAAGTGTCCACGAGCGTCATAGGATATGAACGAGTTAATTAGTTAATCATGATATATATATTCAGTATTCATAATATATATATTTACAAATGGATTATAGAAATTAACACTAGCAATGAACAATATACATGAAGAATAAATTAATAACTCGACAGACACTTCGAAGATGTAAGTTTTGGAAAGAGACAAGGATCAGGGAAGATAACAGGCAAAAAATGTCAATATAAGGTAATAAAAAAGGTCTCTTTCAGGCAAGCACACAGGCAGGACTCGCGAAAGGCTCGCGAAAGTTTCTCGTGACACGCGCGGGCTGACGATTCGCTTAGGGGACTGACCTGAGTGACAACGGGGCTGTATTCGCTGGCCGTTGTACTGGCCATGGACTTAATCGTTCCTGCATCATCGACTATGGCAGATGCCGCAGCATCCGAAGGTCTACAACTGCGTCTTCTTGCATTCTCGTCTTTATCGCGTCCGAAATCGCACCTCCTCGCCTCATGTCTACTACCGAAGACGATCTCGCTCTCGGTCTTTTCTCTCCTGGGCCTCTGAGGCCCCTCGCGGCACAACGAGAAATCTGTTAAGACCGGCTCTCCGGAGTTGAGGACATTGCCGCCTTTCTTACCAACAATGCCGGCAACGCTTATCTCGCTTCCGCGTCGATTACCGCTAGCGAATATACTAGATCTTGAATCCGATGACTTCTGCAGGTACGCCGAATGTCTTGCAGATGGGAAAAAGTCTGAATTTTCACGACGAAAGGCACGTGCAAAGACACTCGATGCATTACCCAATTTCGAATCGCTCTCTTGCCGCCTGTGAATCGGTTTCAATTGCTGTTGCTTTTGATGATGTTGTTGCTCGTGTTTCCTTCGGGCTAACTGCTCCTGTCTCTTGAGCGTTCTTTCGCTAGACGAAGATGAACGATCCTCGTTGGATTCAGACTTGCTCGCTTGATCGATTGCTTCTTGTTGATGCTCCTGTTTCATTTTATCCAACTTTTCATTAAAACCCTGAAAGAAGCGGGTAAAATCCCACTCCTTCAGAAGGAGCTGCTCATCTATTTCTGAACGCCGGTTGCCGCTAGCCGTTGCACGATCGTCTGACATCTGACTAAGTTTCTAGAGTGTGCGTACGATGGCGAAGGTAATGGTACGGTGACAGAGAAAAAAAAAACAAGAAAAAGAAATGCGTGCGATAACAATGTGAAATGATGACTGTCGATGATGGTGATAATGATGGTGATGGTGATGGTAGTGTAATGATATAATGTAATAAGGAATGACTATCTTTGCGGCAGTAACAAATCTATAATTAAGTTGGAAATAATAAAATTTCAAGATTAATTTCAACATCAAATGTAAAAGTTGAAAAGATGCAAATATAATTTATTATATTCAATTATAATCAATATAATTGCAATTACACCGCAACAACATAGTCAATTTATAGCGTATGTGTATCATCTTTCGTATATGAATGTGCATGGTGTATGTACGATAGCGGCAAAAGTACAGACACAAGGCAGTGCGCCATGGTGCTCGCTTGGAATGTACAAAGTTCAATCTTGACGAATACGTGGAACGAACAATGAAGGGAACGGACAATATTGCTGATTTACTCCCGATTATCAGTTAAGGTACGTATATATTTACAAAAAAAGATTAAAAAAATAGATATGTCGCAATCGCTCGTGTCTTCTTCCCTTTCTGTCACCCCTATTAAGCTAAGCCTCCCCCCCCGCACCAGCGCTAAATAAATTCTAACACATTCCAAAATTACGTACTAATTAGATGCTAATTAGGTGCTAAAGTGCGAAATTAGGTGAGTCAATCGTTTGGCAGGAAAAAAAGATGTTGGAAAGAGGGCTGGCTTAACATTAAGTTAACCTTCCCATAAAAAAAAATAAATATTTATTGCGTAAATGAAAAAAACAAATACAACAGAGGTACTAATTAAATGCTCTACGAAATGATTAAAATGTTTCGAAAATGTATTGTAGGGAAGACCGGGGCTAAGTTGGCATTTGAATTTTAAATAGCAAAAATATATCTTATGAGTTCCCAATTTATTGTAGATGTATGATATCTCGTGTGTTTTCCTTACTAACGAAGTTTGATTAGTTTAGATGCCGCATTATTATGTTTAGGTCGAATATGTTTTTCGATAATCAAAAGTAATTTTTGAGATTTTATTTTTCGAATCACACTATTTTTTGTATATATAGATAAAATAAAATTGCAAACATTTTTATTGCCATCTTGTAATCTTATAATCAATCTATAAAATATAATTATTTGACTAAAATAGTTTACTTTGTTATTGAAAATTGCAATTGAAGAAAAGAATACCCATCCCGGCATACTTGAGATTTCATTTTCAAGATCGCATCATTTTTTGTGTATATGGATAAAATGAAGTTGCAAATACCAAATTTTTTTATTGTCATCTTATAATCACTCCATAAAACGCTAATAATCATTTGACTAAAATCGTTTATTTTATTATTGAAAACTGCAATTGAAAAAAGGTGCCCACTTAGCCATAGTCTCTCCCCCTATACAGAATTATATTATATATAGAACTTAGACGCCAATCGAACGGTCGGCTTACAAGAAAGAAGTTGTCTCAAAAAATAAGATGCTCCGACAAATTTGGTATTAAAATATTTTTTTTTAATATTATTTAAAGATATCAAGTCGCCGAATTAGATGCTCGTTTTCTATTTATAAATTTCTCATAAACAGAACGAGCACCTAATTCAGCAATTAGATATCTTAGCAATATATAAAAAGAGAAATATTTTAACACTAAATACTTAATTTTTTAATACCACTTCACTCTTGTAAGCTAGTCGCTCGGTTGACCTTTCGGTTCAAACTTCTAAACCAAAAGAGCACCTAATTCGGCGACTTAATGTTTTTAAATAATATATAAAAAAAGAAATATTTTAATATCAAATTTGGCGGAATATCTTATTTTTTAAGGCAATTTCTTTCTTGTGAGCCGACTATTCGACTGGTGTCTAAGTTCTATATATAATTCTGTATACAATATATTTTCGAAATATTTTAATCATTTTGTAGAGCACCTAATTAACACTAAATTCTGTTGTATTTGTTTTTTTTTATGTACACAATAAATATTTATTTTTTTTATGGGGGGGAGGACTAACTTAATGTTAAGTCCTTCACACTTTTTTTTCCTACTAAATGATTGGATCACCTAATTTCTTTAGTCTAATGACCAGTTAATTTTAGAATGTGTTAGAATTTATTTAGCGCTATTAGGGAAGAGGGATGCTAGCCTAACAGAGATCTTTCCACACATCTTCGAATTTAATCAATTCTCACCGTAACAGATTTCTGGGCAAGCGCGCGCGCGCGCGCGTGTGTGTGTGTGTGTGTGTGTGTGTGTGTGTGTGTGTGTGTAATTAAATTTTGATGTATTAATGCCTCATAAATGACTAATGCCTATTTCCACTAATGTAGATTAACTTTAATCTCGGTTCAACTTACTCTTTGTCTTTTTCTAATCTTTAGAATTAGAAAAAGACGAAGAGTAAGTTGAACCGAGATTAAAGTTAATCTACGTTGGTGGAAATGGGCATAAATAAGTTAGACGGGGAAGAAAATACGTCAACTGCTTTGCCCAAACTACCAAAACAAAATTATATAAAATCTGTACGTTACGTACCAACGGTATATAAAAATTTCAAGTTATATGCAAATGAAATATATCTGAACGAAAGAGAAGAGCTCTACAAATGTATATTTCAGCTTACATCGCAAACTTGAAAAGAGAATTACTCACTCGTTTCATGACTAGCGTACGATCTCCCGATTCTTCCTCATCGGGGGTTGGTGGGAGCGGACGATTCGGTGCTCCTCCTATAAAGATTAGACAAAGGCAAAGTATTAAATCACAATGCGTAGAATCATTAACAATCCTCCTGGAAAATGGCTTTCATACCTTTCGGTTTATCCTCGTGATGGGAGTTTTGAGCATTGTGCGAAGATGACGACGACGAATCCGACGACGGTCTGAAAGGAGAAAATTCGGGACTGCAGCGATGGAAATACAGATTGCAGTAGGACGACGTGACGATGGATGAAGCACACATAATGCATTGTTGATGTTGCGAGGCGAGGCGACCAAGACGACCATATGACGCGAAATACCGAAGCATGGGATAGGCATGATGGAAGATGAAACGAAATGAGTTTACATTAGTAAGATTAATAATTACAATGTTACTTCTATATTTATTATATTATAAAAGCGTTAAAAAAATAGCTTTGAATAGTGTAATAGTTTTACATTACTACATATTATTATTTTTTTCTTACTGGAAATAATTCGATGATACATATAAAATATTGTTCTGTTAAAAATTACGTTTCCGATAGAAAATTTTTGATGACCAAAGTTCACCGAAGATCGCACAAAAATATAGTGATCTTCAAAAATAATTTTATGAATATTAATAAAATTCTGAAACATCCATTTTATTTTCAAAAAAAATTTATTGCGCAAATAAGTTTCAAACTGCAATTACAAATACTGTTGACTCAATATACGTTTTTATATCAATTAATTAATACTACATACGTTTTTATAGCAACTAATGACAAAAAATAATTAAATCTTAATATAGCGAGCATTATTTCAATGTTATCAATATTGCCAAATATATTTCTGATGTTAGAATATTAATGAAGCGGTAAAGTCGTTTACTTACAGCGGCTTGGGTGGGTCACTGGCCAGTAAAGTACCATCGTTTCTCAAATTATTCCCACCAGCATCTTCGAGATCATCATCGCTGTCACTCTCAATCGATAGAGCCTAGAACGACAAGGTGATATATCGTCATTAGAGAGTTTCTCACTCGTTATGTGCTATTAATTTTTATATCATGTACTTTTTTTACCTCAAACTAGATGCAAGACGAAATTTGTGTCTCACGCAATAAGAAGACAAAGAAAACGAAAGAGATAATATAACAACGAAGGAATAGGAGTGCAGGCATATAAGAATTTTGCTGCTGAAATATCAATCGTGGTCGCATGTAGCTACAATCGCTTACTTGATCGAGAATACTGGAAGATTGCGGCATCTGTTTGTTGTTCTGATCGTTACCACCTGCAGGCTGCACCGAATTCGATGTAGATGAAGCTGCAGGGCCCTTATGTTGCCTGTTTGGCCTTGGCGGGGCCTCGGGGCCCTGTGACACACCAAGCTCGATGAGTTGAGCAGCCAGTATCTCCATGTCCTACCACCCACACGCATACACGCACAACCCTGTTAGTCACTGTTCCGAGACCTCTGAGAATTTTTTGCTAGAAGCCACCATCGGATAGGCAACAAGGTAGCCAAATAAGGCAAAAAGGCAAGGAAAGACGTTAAAGGGAGCGTAATGTTGTGCACTTAAGCGAAACTACTAATCAAATAAAAATTTAATTAGGTTGATTCCGAAATATATAGCCATAGTATACTCTATTTATACTTCAAAGAAACAGGTAATATAAACATTATTACGAAGAATGATTTCTGTTCAAGTCAACTATTCCTTTGTTGACAAAGCATTATAACAACATTTTTGTGATAAATTAATACAATAGCAACGTAATATTATATGTCCTTAATCCTCTTCATGGATTGTTAAAAAATTCTGAATGTCCATAACAATTATTTGGATTCACAAACACAAATTGATAATTTATTCGATCATACTGTTTACAATATCGGAGACTTGGTTAAGTGACGTGAGTATGTGTACATGCGGATCTAGAGCGATGCGCAATTTAGAAGCAATAAATAGGCAATTAAAGCGGTGATGTGATAATAGAGTGTGATTAATTTAGATTAAGGTGCGATAAAGATGAGAGATTGAAGGCAGAGATAGGCGAGCCATAGATAGCTGAAATTAAGTGAGTGAGCTTGACGGCAGATCGGAGAAGTTACGGCAACAAAAAAACAGATTAGCGTGGCAAACAGCGGGCAAGGTAGAAGAGAAAGGATGAGACAAGAAGTAGCACAAAGAAAAATAATGGATGTAAAAAAAATAGGATTTATGAATACGAAAGGAAGAGAGATGAAAAGGTAAGATTTAAAGAGGAATTAAGGGGGTATATGGAAAAGGCGAGAAAAAAAGAGATGCGAGATTAGAAAAAGAAGAAGAAACAAAGAGGGAGATGATTGTATGAAAAGGGAGAGTAAAAGATTGAAAGAGAAATGGTCAAAACAAATGGAAGAGGCAGTGGTTAGGTTTAAGGATTGGGAAGAAAAATGTAGAGAACTAGAGATTAAGTACCTGTATGAGCAGCTGAAAGGAGAGGTTAAAGAAAAGATTGCAAGTAGGAAAGGGGATAGTGAGGAGAGGCTAGAAGCGTAATAAGCGGAGGTACATATACAGGGGCAAGGTCGATTTTTAGCGAGGGAGGTTCAAGTAGCAGAGAAGTTAGTGTCCTAAAGAGATGGATGACGAAAGGAAGAAAAGAAGGAAAAATTTGTAATCAAGGGATTAGATATAGATAAGGAAATTAAGGTAAAAAAAGGTATACGGAGAGAAGATGGCATAAAAAAATGGATAAATGACAGTGTTATAGTAAATGACAAATGTTAGAGGTAGGCTGTAACATAGTGGCAATCAGAGAGAGTGGAAAGATACTAGTGATAAGAGTAGAAAATGAAGATAAAAGAGTAATTATGAGTAATAAGCATAAATTTAAGGGAGATAAAGTTTTCAGAGAGAATGATTTAAGTTGGGAGAAAAAAAAATTACAAAAGAAAAATGAATAGGTGGGCGAAGAAACAAAAAAGGGGAAGAAAGTGAAAGTAGAGTTAGAAAGAGTAAGAATGGAATATGGAAAGGATGGACAGAGTTAGAAAAGGAGAAGGAAAGGAACAAAAAGAAAAAGGAAAATGCAAAAGGTGTAATTCGGGAAATAAAGCAGAAAAGAATTTCAGCTAAGTCAAGAAGGAGAATCGGGGAGAGACAGAAAAAGAATAAAAGAAGGTAGGAATAGGGATATAAAGACAAATTAAAGACAATGGAAATGGGAAAGAGGCAAGAAAAAAAAGGATAGGCAAAAAGAAAAAGACAAAAAGGAAAGACAAAGACAGTCGCTATTTTGGAACTATGCCAGAGATTAGGAATAAAGATAGGGATTTTTGGAGATATATAAAAAGCTTTGATTTTGTGCAAAACATGGGTGGAAGAAAAAGGATGGGATTGTCTAAAGGGAAGGTTATCTAAGTCTCACACATGGTTATGTAGCTTTGCAAGGAAAGAATGTAGGAGAGAAAGAGGGTTTTGTAATAAGAAAAAGAAAAAAACTGGGGTGAATCAGAAGTAAAGTTTACTCAAAAAGAAGGGGAGGGCATTGTAAACTCCGAATTTATAATAAACAAGGAAAAGATGAAGATTATATTAATGTACGGAGAGCAAGAAGGTAAGAGCAAAAAATAAATTTGAGGAATTTATAGAGGAAGGAGAGAAAAACTTAATAGTAGGAGGAGATTTCAGATAGGTGAGCTAGGAGGTACAAAGATGGAAGGGGAAGAAAGATACAGTAAGGATAAGTCTATAGGTAACGGAGCAAGAAGCTTTGTAAAATGGGCTATAGATAAGGGGCTACAACGGAAAGACGGAAGGCGATTGGTAGGAAGAATATATATATATATATATATATATATATGTAGGTCCAAGAGGTAGTTCGGTAATAGATTATGTGTTGGTCAACGAGAACGTAACGAAGAAAACTATATATAGAGTTTAAGGCACAGACAAGAGTGGGCTCAAATCACATGCCGATTTGCTTAAGGATTAAGAAAAGAGAAGAAGAAGAAACAGGAAAAGAACAGGAAGAAGAGAGAGTGGAGAAAGTTATAATCTGGAACAAAGAAACAATAAGGATGTATAGAGAAAATACAGAGGAGCAAGGTGATGATAAGGATAAGGAGACATACAAGGAGAATAATATAGAAGAAAAATGGAAAGAAATTAAAAATATGGGATTAAAAATATGTATAGGAAGAAGAGGATAAGGAGAAAGAAGAGAGACCCTGGTGGGATAGAAGATGCAGAATGAAGAGGAAGATGAAAAAAGTTGGAGAAAAGGAAAAACAGAGAAGATATATGGAAGAAAGTAGCACATATAAGGAACTCCTGGAGAAGAAACAAAAGGAAAAAAGAAAGAAAGAAGAGAAGAAATTGAGAAATTTAAAAAGAGAGGCGGATATATGGAAATTTATAAACAAGAGAAGAAAAAGGATAGATAACAGCATCAATAAGAAAGAATAGAGAAACTACTTCATGAGTTTGCTGAATGGTAAGGAGGAGAAAAAACAGATGAGAAGGATGTCAGCAAGGAAAAAGAGTTGAGAGAAGAAAAGCTAGAGGAAGTGAAGATAAATAAGGCAATAAACAAAATGAAAAAGAAAAGAATAGCAGGGATAGATGGGATACCGTCGAGATGGAGGCATGGATATACGCAGAAGGCTTAAAGAAAAAAAAGTATCTCTACTAAAGATGGTATGGAGACAAGGCAGAATACCCATGAATTGGAAGAGAAGCATAGTGGTACCTCTATATAAAAAAGAGAATAAGGAAGAGGTCAAGAATTACAGAGGGATATCACTACTATGTACGACGTACAAGATTTATGCGGAAATACTGAGGAATAGACTAGAGAGGGAAGTGGAAGAAAAAGAAATAATTCTGGAGACACAAACAGGCTTTAGAAGAGGAAGATCAACAATGGACAATATTTTTGTACTGTCCGACATTATACAAAGGGAAGGAAGAAGAGTCGGAGGAGCTGAGAAAATTTATATGATATTTGCGGACTTAAAGGCAGCCTTTGACAACATGGACAGAAATAAGTTATGGGAGATTATGAAGAGGAAGGAGATGAGTAAGGAGCTGGTAAAAAGAATCGAGAAGATATACGAAGAAACAAACGTAACAGTGAGAACAAGATTAGGAAACACAAGAAATTTCTCAATAAAGAAGGGCGTGAGGCAGGAGTGTATAATAAATCCACTCCTATTTAATTTATATATTGCGAATTTAAACCTTGAATTAAGGAAGAGGAATATAGGCGATATGAAATTAGGAGGAGACAGGATATGGAATTTAGTATATGCGGATGATGTAGTATTAATGGCGAAAAATAGGATAGCTTTACAGAACATGATGGACACACTCAAAGACTCTTTTAGCAGAGAGGTGCTTGAATTGTGTGTGGAAAGATGCTGGTATGTAATCGAAAAGCTGGAGAGGACAAAAATTTGAAAATGGGATAAGAAAGAAATAGAGGAAGTGCAGGATAATGGTTTACACTCTGTACCAAGTATCTAAATAACATCCATCTCCTCTTAAAGTCATTTCTGCATATTCTTTCTTTTAACCCCCACATTTTTCTTGCTATCATTTTCTACATAGCTCCTTAATCTGGTCCTTGTGGTTCCCCTCCCCCCCCTCCCTCATTTATAACAAAACCTATATATTTAAAATCCTGCACTTCCTCTATTTCATTAATGGGGTTGAGATATGGGAATGGAAGGAGATGGATGAATTAGAAAGGGTAATAATGGATTATGTCAGATGGATTTTTAATGAAGACTTTAATGCTCCAAGGTATATAATAAGGGAACTAGCTGTGGATAAGTTAAGGGTGGGATATTAAAAAGGCAAGAAGGTACGAGGAAAAAAGAGTAGGAAACTTAGATAAGAGTATGCTGGGAAGAGAAAGAGCGCTATGATTGGGATGATATATACGCAGAGAGAAGGAAAGGTACTATAATAGAAATGGTTGGAGGATAGAGGCAAGGGAAAAATAGGGGAGGAAAGTTTCAAAGAAGGATAAATTTAGAGAAAGGGAGATACAAAAACAGCGGGAAGATAGTAGAATTGTGAGAGCTAGATATAATAAGAAATACAAGGAAATAAGACTGCGGGATCCCAGCATATCTTAAACAAGAAAATCTGAAGGAATAGAGTAGAGGAGATGAAATGAGGAAACTTAGAAGAGGACAAGTATTGACTAGAAGAAAGTAGAAGAAATTGTGTATGGTGTAGAAGAGGGACAATCTGGAGCATTATGTGAGAGAATATGAGAAAGTCAAAAGTAGATTTATTGAATTAGGCGAGGAAAGAAATAAAATATTAGGGAGATTGTGGCAGGAAGATTTAAATAAGATTAAAGAAGAAGTGTTAAGGAAACTGGAAAGATAGAGAGAGGAAGGTACGAGGAAGAATAAAGGGGAAAGAAAAAGCAACAGAGACAGACAGAGGAGGCTGGAATGACTTAAGAGCAAGAATACAAGTTAGGATATTATAAAGACAAGCAGAAAAGTAAGAACTACGAGCATAAATAGGAACAGCGAAGATAAAAGTAAGTACAAAGGTTGTATATAGGGCTGTGAAATGAGCTGTGATTTAGGATAAACAGAAATAATATGACAGTAATTATTATGAAAAGAGTGTATGAAAGAAGTGGTATTAATAGACATTTTAATAAAGGGAAAATAGTAAAAAGAAAAAGGATATATGCAGAAAGATAGAAAATTTTATAGAGTTTTAAAAGGTATGAGATGAATGAGTTAAGGACCTTATTATAAACCAAATCTCCTTCTTTTCTATACTGAAGTGAAATAAATTCTATAATCTATTCTGTTAACAATATCAATATATGATGACAAATCAACTTGTATATATCAACTTGCAAAACTGTTTTTAGAACTTTGCAAGAAAGAAAATGTTTACAACAACAAAAAAAAGAAACGTTATCAGATTCGTGTTTATATGTACCTGTTTTAGTCTTAAGACGATTAAATTGTGCCTTTAAACTATTTCTATTTCAGAATCGCCCTTTGCAATGTTAATATACTGACTCAAACACAACACGTTTAATAAAACACTAGATCATATATATTATTATACAGAACTGTCTATATTAGTAAAAATTAACACTAACTATGACATTGAATTTATAGTTCTAATTTTTGTTCACGAAAGACAAGAGATACAATTCAAATATCTTCAATAGTTATAAAATGCAAGAAATAAGACTATATCCCTACATTTAAAAATATTTGTAATTTAAAAACTATAAAAATAATAATCTTATAAAAAATCGTGTTTGTGTTTTCCTCATCACACGTATTTATTCTCTCAAATTAAATAAATAACATATTTTTCATATCTTCGAATTTTAAATTATTCAGGTATTATATGGTGGATCATTCTGCATATTAATTGCTACAAACATGAAACATATCGATTATTTTTAATATACATGACTAATCGTAAAATGTTACGTTTATATTATAACAATGCGATAATACGGAATGAATGATATTATATCTCGAAACACCAACAAACGTGTTGTGTATGTATATTTAAACGTATAATCTAACAAAGAAAATCCACTTTGTCAGATAACACAGACCAACATGAATTTTGATCCAGAAACGGCAATGGCTGCATTCGGAAATGGATGCCTCCAATGCCTTGAATTCATCATCTTGTCCTTGTTTAACATTAATATTAATCTAAGGCATTGGAGACATCCGAGTGACATTTTCGCAGCCAGTATGTAACCTCGAAGGTTTTTGACGTGCTAAGACCAAATCTGTAGCTCAAATTGCTCACGTCAAATTTCCGAGATTTTAACCTAAAAATGCCCAAAAAGCCTCTTTCAAGCATTTTTAGATTAAAATTTCTCATAAACATAATGAGATAGAAAAACATAGGCTGCGGATTCAGAAACAATCTATAAAAATCATCTAAATAGAACAGTAAAATGGAAAAAATAGGTACAAGTATGTTTACTGACCTCAACGTATTCAAAGTACATTTAAGCATCTCCAGACGATATGGCCAACGTATGACAACATTAGCAAATATCGTACACATACATTATATAAATAAAATCCATATTGAATGTAATATTTAATGAATGTGTGCGAAGTTGGCGTACACATTGGCCATATCATCTAAAAGTGCCTTAATGCTCATATCAGACTACGAATTGACGATTACAATTACCCATACAGCATGTAATATTGCAGTAATATTGTAGTGAGATTACAATATTGCAGTAATATTACAACTTGTATCACAATGTAATATTGCAATAATTTTGTTGCGATATTATAATACAATGCCATATATCATTCTGCAATATTATTACAATGTCATCCAAATATTGCAGTGAGATATATCGCAATGTAATATTACCGCAATATCATCCAAATATTGCAATATGATATATCGCACTGAAGTATTATCGCAATATTGTTTAAATATTGCAATACGACATATCGCAAAGCAGTATTGCCGCAATATCATTCAAATATTGCAATGCGATATATCGCATTGTTACAATGGTTACAATGTGGTACTTCATTATAATATTACAGCAATATTTTGTTCAATTATTACATTGCAGTTTATCATATTGTAATATTATTGCAACAGCGTTGAAATATTGCAATGCAGTGACATCTTTCTAAGACATGAATAATACTATATGTTTTGATTTTTTTTATTACTGAATAAATATTAAGTATTAAATATTAAGTAAAAAAAATTAGGAATATAGATTGAACATAATTTACAATGGATACAAATAGGCTGTACTATCTTATATTTTATTTGCATCTATTGCAGTTATATTTAATATTCATTTACAATTTTTTTTTGTTTCTCCAATATTCAATATTTTTCTGCTGTTCTTAATTTTTTTTATTATGCACGGAGCCAAATAATACATATTAGCGTACTCCTTCTTATAGAACTTCTGGACATTTTCTCTTTCAAAAAAACGTATTCCTTTCGTGGCGGAGCATACCTATTTATTGAATTGTAATATTCCAACAATATGTATTGCAATATTTTCTACAAAATTAAAATTACAATATTTTACAATATTGTATAATAATATTTCCAATAAAATATTATAATTTCTATAGTGCAGCAATATCGCTGCAATTTTTATAATACTGTGTATTATTGAAACATTGCTGCAATATTACTCATACAATACCATAAGTTTTCAGAAATATTTCAATTGTAAAGTGAAACATTTCATAAAAGTTACAAAATATGTCTACAACATTTTTGAGACAGCTCTGACATAGCAAAATATCCGCGATTTTTGCACACGAAACCTTGTTGAAAGGGTGTTAAAATGTTACAAAAAGAATTATTGAAATATTGCTGCAATATTGCTGCTATATTTCATGCTGAAGGGGTAAGTACGCGGCCCAGCCACAAGAGGGACGTTACTCGTAAGAAGAAAACGTTTAACAGTCCTATAAATAGGAATATGCACATTGGCATGTCTCCCGAAAATTCCCAACTTTTTTTGGAAGTGCTTTCCAGGCCTCCGAATATTTTTTTTATCGTGACTATCATTTTTTAGAGTGCAATAAATGAATATTAAGCAATAATACTTTAGCAATTAATAAAACTGTTTAAATTAATTATTGTAATATATTATAATGTTGCAACAATATGTTACAGAAATATCGCAGAAATATTCCTGCGATAAATTTTTTGCGTTTATTATTGTAGTGATATTTATACTATGTAATATTATTGCAATATTATTACAGTATATATATTATAAATACTATCACAATATTGCAAAATATTAGCATAATATTTTGTAGAAATATTGCCTAATGTTATAAAAATTACAAAATATCGCAGAAATATTTCTGTGATGAATTGGCTGCGGACATTTAATATATATTTATACAATATTACTGACATATTACCGTGCAATATTACAACAAATTTGTAATATTACTGCAAGATTACTACACTATTACATACTGTGTGAGTTAACAGGTGCACGGTTCTACTTCAACTAATCACGATATAGCAAGTCTATCGTAATTTGCTAAAATATAATCGGGCAACCGTTATCAATTGTAATCGTCAACCCGTAATCTGATACTCCCCTAAGGCCGGTAAACATATCGCAATATATCTTTTTTTTTTCATTTTACTGTGTTTTTTTTTCATCTTATAATCATAGGTGATTTTCGTAGATTTTTTTCATGTTGAATCCGCAGCCCATATTTCTCCATCCACCTCACGTTTACGAGAAATTTTAATCTAAAAAAATATACGAAATATACCTTTTTAGATTAAAATATCTCGGAACCCTGACGTTAGAGCAACTTGAACTATGGATTTGGACTATATCAAAAATTTTCGTGATTGCATATTGTTCTGGATAAAAAAAAATTTTGTTGTAGATCTATGTAATTAGAATAAGAATTTATATGGAACAAGGTGAGTGCTCAAGCGAATTAAAAGGATGTGTGTGTGTGTGTGTGTGTGTGTGTGTGTGTGTGTGTGTGTGTGTGTGTGTGTGTGCGCGCGCGCGCGCGCGCGCGTGTGCGTATATATAATATATAAAAAATATAAAACGGATAAGTTTAAGAATGAATCAGTGCATTCCAGAACACATTCTCTATCGATTTATGTTCAGTAAATATTTCATATTATATTTTAAAAGAAGCTTCAAAACTATCGAAACACACAATCATTATTATATTATTCAAAAGCATCAACTAAATGCTTAAAAACATATTCTTGCATAAATAAATCATAGTAAAAACTAACATAATATTAGTATTCTTATATTATATATATATATATATTATATTATATAGTATTCTTATATTTAAGATTTAGTACAATCTTAAGTCATGAACTAATGAGAAAGCGCGCGCGTATTAACATCTTAAAATAGTTTTAGAATAAAAACAAACTATGAATATTGCCTATAGTTTCTGCACTGATCGTCATTGTCAAATCATCCGTATTGCATAAGAAAAGCGACTTATTAATATACATACATATAAGAGAAAGAGAGAGATAAAGTGTGCGTGTCATCTTACCTCTGGCTTCTTCGGCGGCAGCTACGGTAGGTGTGAACATAGAAAAAAAACAAAAACCGAATACATTCCATGTCGAGTGCTAGGACCTTCTGTGTACGTGTGTACATGTATCATAATAAACTGCATCAGCGTGTACGTCAATAACGCAATAGCGACGTAGAACGCGTGCAATGAATGTAATAAAAATATATAGTATATCACAAGTATATAGAGAAAGAGGAAACATACAAAGTGAACTATGCATTGTATAGAAAACATATATACTTAGATCATAAATACAAAATTTAGGGCAGAACTGCAAAGAAAAAAGAATAACAGCGTATGCCTTACTACAAATCTTGTCATCTATCCTTTTTGTTTATATCTATGTGAGTGCCCTTATTAACAAAGTGTCATGGAAAGAAAGAGGAGATTTAGATAATTAGAAAGAAGAAGTTTAGATAATTAAAAAAGATAGGAGGGATACGAAAAGTGCAAGTTTCTTCACAAAGACTTACCATAGGCTTGAAGACACTGTTCCTTTGAGGCGCAGATTGCCCACCGGATCCTCCCCCTCCTCCAACAGGTGTCTGATGATTAGAAGGCGGCGTAGATACTTTGTGCGGTTGTCGAGGATCATCTCTGGGTGTCGGAGGTAATGGACGAGACGGTGGTTGTGGATCGGGCACCACTATTTACACAGTAATCGATATTAGCAACGTGAAAAAGATCGACTATAATCTTTTATAAATCATCATTAACCGTACCTATGAGTCTGTGCGGTATCGCGGGTCTCGCGGGTGGTCCAGGTTCCGGCACTTCTCTTTGAGATCTACTTCCTGGTTTCTCTTTAGCGACAGGCGCTTGTGGAGATACATCTTGCGTCAGAGTCCTGCCTTCCTGAATCTGTTGAAAATTACGGCGTAACGTATCACCTCCAGGTGCTTGAACTATAGATGATGGTTCGCCCGCCAATGCCGGTTCATCCTCCTCGTTTTCACTACCACTATATCGATAATCATCTCTTTCTATAATAAATGACAAATACATAACAATGGTCCAGCAAACATGAAATAAGTTTTTAGAAAATAAAAGTCCTGTTATCATTTTCATACCTTTCTCCTGTTTGCGTTTTTTACAACGATCAATGTGATCTTTAAGCTGTATTCTGACTTGTCTTTCCGTAGGTTGGTCCCGAATAAATGGATGTTTAAGAAGCTGTTCCGTATAAGGTCTTTGATGATAATCCTTTACCAGTACCGTTTCGATAAATCCGTGAAACTTTTTGGCCCACTTTTTCGACTTGAGCCGTGGCGGTGGATTACGAGGAATCAAAAACAAAGCCTATTCGATAATAAAACAACATATAATTTTGTAATTTTAATTAATATATAATTAAAACATATAATTTTGTATTTTTAATGTAATTTTAAACACAAGAATGTTATAAAAAGTACATATTAATCGTCAAAATTACTGAGAAAGACTCACTCTCATGGGATGTAAATCGCAGAGTGGAGGTTGTGATTCAGCCATTTCTAAAGCAGTAATTCCGAGTGACCAAAGATCGCTCCTATTATCGTAAGTAGCATCTGGATTCTCGTCACATGCAATAACTTCTGGAGCCATCCAGTAAGGTGTACCGATAAACGTGTTTCTTCTACCTATTGTTCTGTCCAACTGTGCGCTAACACCAAAATCAACTAAAAAAATTGCAGCATAATTAATATATAATGATAAAATAAATCAAAAAAGATATGTATTAATTTGATGTATAAAATTTCTCTTATAAAGTTCCATTTCAAATTATCAAATTTTTTTTAAGAAAATTCGTCAATTTCTCTTTACATAGAAAAAAATATTATATACATTAAAGTCAACGATAATTTACTTTAATTGATAAAAATAATTTCAAAACTATATGTAAGATTTTGTTTAACGAATCTTTTGCATGAATCTAATAATTAATAACTAAATTTACCAAGTTTAACTTCCGCATTGTCAGTCAACAAAACATTTTGTCCCTTAATATCTCTATGGATAACTTTGTTGCTATGAAGATAACTAAGTCCCCTCAGTATTTCTCGCGATATATAAGCTATCCATTCCTCTTTTAAGCTCTGGCCCTTAGTTGACTTGACGAGATCCGTGACAGAGCCAGCTCCGCAATATTCCATAACCAGCCATAATTGATCGTCTTTACCGGGTGATGACTTCTTTACGAAGGCACCGTAATATGTAGCTATATTCCTATGATTCGAGTACTATAAAGCAAAAAAAAACAATGTCAAATTTTTTTTGCATTAATGCACTCCGCTAACTATCCAGCACTTTAAAATATTTATTCAAAGTAAGAAAGTAATTAAGTCACTCACCCGCTTGAGTACATTTATTTCCAACTTTATTTCTTCCTCCTCATCCTGCAATGAGATAATCAGTTTGTTAAAGTATGCAATTAATCGAATGTTTCTTCTAATTTCTTAAGCCCATTTTATAATAGGGAGTTTGCATAATTTTTAAAAAATATTACATTTTATAATTTATATATATATAACATTACTTTAAATCCGAAGCGCCACTACGATCTAAGTATTAAGATGTTGAACTAATATATATATTTTTCAAACGAATGAATTAATTTCAGAAATGATAATTACGTGCCGATATGGCGACATTAACGCAATTGATATAAATGTTAATAATCCCTCCAAAATTCCCCAAATTAATCTTAAAAAACTGTAATAATCTTATTACGAAAAAATATTGCCTCGGCCGGGAGTCGAACCCGGATCTCTTCCATTTGCACTAACAAAAACCGAACGAATATATGGATCCACCCAATATATATCTTTAACTGCAATTTTTTAATAATTTTTTAACACAAATTATGCAAGAAAATAAATAATAAAATATTGCATTATTTGAAATGCCGAAGACAATCCGGATACAACCGAGCGCTCCTAAACGTGTTGTGACGTCACACTGCAACAACGAAATCACAATTATTCAGTAAGAGAAATTAATTTATTTTCAAAATAAGCAAAAGAAACATCTATAAAATGTGTTTTGTACTTTTGTATAAAAACAATTAAAACATTGGAAAAATTTTTTTATGTGTCTTAAGCTGAAAATGTGAGAAAAAATAGTTTAAAAATGCATATCGTATTGATGAATCAGAAAAATAGAATTATTTTTGTTATGAAGATCATTTCTATGTAGATATTATATTAAATATGTTTTTTTATGCTTTCTAATTGTAACATTTAATTTTATTAAAATATTATTCATATTCATATAAAAATATTCAACATAACGTAAGCTAAAACATTGAATGTCAAATGTAAAGGTATTTTGAGAATTTGTAAATTTATTATATCTAAAATTACATAAATAAATTGATTATCCCATCCAGGTCTAACAAATATAAATGAGCAAATTTGTTTTTGAATGTGCATAATTAACAATTTTATTATTCATATTAACACAGTACTTTTCGACTTAACTCAATCCTCTTCAGCTGTAGATATACAATATATATGTACGCATTTTTTACAAAGAAACTAATAACTCCCACGCATAAAATACGCATATTAATACAGTAGAGTTTCTCTAAACTTTGACTTCTGTAATCTTTGCATTCCTTACACATACTTTTACAAACACTAATTCATGTCCCTTCTATGCATGGTAGGCTCGACATGTGTCGCGCGCATCTGCATCTAATTGTACTAGGTTGTTAGAGTGTATGCAATGTAATTTCATAGGCAGGTTATGTATAACTATTTGTGTAATATATTCTTTTGTAATACATAATATGTAATACATATATACATATGACTTCTTCTGCTAAGGTTATGTACACGGTAGCGCACTTTAACAGGTTAGCATGCGCAACTGCGTTCGCGCAAGTACGTGATGATTGGTAGACTCGTGCTATAGAGAGGATACTCTATAATTTTGGTACTCCACTCTTATCGCCCCATGGACCAAATTTAGAGAAACTCCACTATATAAGGATCATCTCACATTTCTTAATACTTTTAAAAAAACAACAACCGCATTATTACTTATTTTTAGATAATCAAACTATAAATTGATGTGTTGCAATAGTCATTTTTCTATTTTTTTTTTAATCAATTTCTCGGTGGTTGACAAGAACAGGCAATGTTTAAATGCAATTTCCAGTCCGTATAATTGTCGTATCTCAGTATCGCAGATATAATAAAGTTGTGAATGAAAATTAAAAAATGCATATGTATTAGAACGCATATGTATTAGAAAACTAAATAAAATAATAATAATAATAATAATAAAACTATGTCAATTGAAAAACTGATAATAGTAAAATTATGAGCTAAAATTAGTGAATTGTAATGTATAAATTACAAACTGTCAAAAGTCGATATAGTTAATAAAAGAATTATTATTAATAGTTAGATAGAATTATTAATAAAGAAGTTGTAAAATTATGTTATGTGGACAAACATGATATTAATATGGATTAAGTGACATATATATAAGTATAATTCTGAATAACTTACTACATGTAGAGATGGTGTTAAATGTGAACATTAATGAATTTTACTGTAGAATTTTTCGCACAATGATAATGTATGTGACCACTAATGTCATCAAACTTTATAACTATCAATATTAGCGACAGAACTTAACAGTAGTTTTTTGCGCAATGATAATATATGTGATCAAAGGACATCTGACAAAGAGTCGGTCAAATCTTATTAGATTTGTTTTTATTCGCAATTATCTTCAACAAGTCAACATAAATATCATCTAAAGATTCTGTCTTTTTTTAAATTTAAACCGTTTTTCTGTTCCTTGTAACATTTCAGAAATGAGTTTTTTTATTATAATTTGATTCAATCTAAAATTTTTGCTTTCAATCAAAATTGTGTTTACTTTGCAATGATTGTTTGGTAATAACTGAAAATTTAGTTGAATCAAGTCTTTTATTTTTCATATGTTCATTTATTCAAATTTCAGATATTAAGTCCCCTTTTTGTCTGTCCAACGTAAATGGAGTCACAATCATTACACGCGATCTTATAAACTACATTATTGTTGTTGTATTAATGCTCTTTTTGTCCTTATGCACTCTTATAAATTTGTTTTTTAGCTCATAATTTTACTATTATCAGTTTTTCAATTGACATAGTTTTATTATTATTTTTATTTTTATTTCATTTAATTTTCTAATACACATGCATTAATATTCACGACTTTATTATATCTGCGATACTGAAATATGACAATTATACCGACTGGAAATTGCATTTAAACATTGCCTGCCTATTCTCGTCAAGGAATTGGTTAAAAAAAAAAAGAAAAAGACTATTATATCAGTTTATAGTTTGACTATCTAAAAATAAAATTATAATGCGGTTGTTGTTTTTTTAAAAGTATTAAGAAATGTGAGATGATCCTTATATTAATATTTTATGCGTAGGATTAGTTTCTTTGTAAAAAATGTGTGCATCTACAGCTAAAGAGGACTGAGTTAAGTCGAAACATACTGTGTTGAATAATAAAATTGTTAGTTATGCACCAAAAACAAATTTACTCATTTATATTTGTTAGACTCGGGTGAGATTTAATTAATTTATTTTTATAATATATGAGCGTCATCGAAAAGATTTTTAATATTTAATATTGAATAAAATTATATGTATTTTAGTTTAATTTATTTTATAAATTATAGTTCATAATTAATAAAAAAAAACATATTTTTAATGTGTAAATGCCATTTTTTTAATGTTAATAATTTTATATTAATAAAATTTATTAGAATAATGCTTGCTTTTTATTTTTCAAACATTTTTCCTTTCGCAAACGTTGAAATTATCAACTAAATTTTTTTCAGTACAAAAGTTAAACATTAACTGATGAATTAGTAATGTATAAACTATTCTTTCCAATAATGTATATCTTAAAAAAGAATCTAACTATCTAATTGTTTTGCTTTAGCTTGTTCGATTACTTTATTTATAAAAATTAGAGAGTCACCTAAATTTTCAGTCGTAGATTCAGAATTCATTGTCATCTCTTAGTTGTAATAAATTTTTTTGAAGTTGCAATATTAGACATGTAGCTGATTTTCTTCAATAACATTTAACTTCAGTTGGAAATGCAGACTCATATCATCTATTAATCCACACTAAGAAGGCTATACTATGCTTATATTCTCTTTTATAATTAAATTCAATTTATTTATAAAAATTTATATATTTATATTGTTACAAATGTGTATTACTAAACTTTCATCTTGAATTTATTTTTACTTTGTATTTTTAAAGTCATAAATAACAATGTTCTATAAGGATAGTTAAACAACTGTTTATTGAATTATTATTTTATGAAATAAAAATTTAGTTGTTTTAAAAAAAATTAATAATAAGTATAGGGCTACGAGTCAAGTAAAGTCTTAATGTTATGTAATAGTGAAATAAAAGTTTATTATGACATACGTATCGAGCCTAATTGAATCATTCTCAATATAGAAACTAATACAATTTTAAAAAAGCAACGACTTATTTAAAAACACTAACATGACAAACACATAAAATAATTTAGGTAATTATAATTATATATAAACTCATCGCAGTGTATGTTAAAATTTCCATTATGGATGGTATTGAATGTTGTTAGCTATACCCACGTGAAAAAGTAGATGACAAAAAATTCGGATAAGAACTTGAATGTATAGATACATTATGACATATGTGGTCATCAGCGACTATCTTATAAAATGATCTTAAAGACGCAATCGCAAAAGTTTGGAATTGCACTTTCAAACTGACAGTTATTAGTTGTTTTTTAAACTATTGCTTTCAAATATTTTAATCTTCTAATGCTGCACATTCTATGCGTTGAACTGTTTCTTTTTCTTCATCGACAATACCGATTATAGTAAAATATTTTTATCGAAACTCGGTATTCAGGATAGATTCTTCCTTTTTCTGTACAAATAGAACTTTTCCGCTAACATAACCTATGCGTTATACTCCTCTACAGCGTAATTTTTTCTTGATGATCTAGATAGATACAATAATTATAATATTTATTCATGCTACTTGGAATAAAATTTGACTATAATAAATTAAAAGTAAAAATTATCACTATAATAATAAAAATATACTTACAAAGTTGTTTTTAATCCTCGAATTTCTGGAGCATTATCGCTCATCACTAACAATATATCCCCAAACCATAAATACAGTTATTTTTAAATAAATTCATTGAATCGATTTTAATACATCCTAGATCCAGTTAGTTTGGTATTTTATTTTAATATTCTTAATTTAAAGGTTTTTAAAAAGAGAATTTTAAGATTTCGCTTTGGCCTTCCAGCGTAAGCAGACGATTTACAGTGTGACGTCACGCATTTGTTAGTCAATCAAAATTGTTTTCTCAAAATTCAAATATTACTAAACTTTATTTTAGTTTTATAGTACCTAGCTATTACTAAAAATTACAAATTTTATTATACATAAATTTACAATAATGCATATTTCCATAATAAATAAAAAAAATGTATTATTTTTTTAATGCAAACTCCCTATTGTATAAGCGTAGTTATAAGAATTAATCAATCAAAACCGAATAAGGAGAGAATATTCGATTAGGATTGATGAATTCTTACAACTTCAACCACTTACAACTACGCTTACGCCGCAATTGTAGAATAAGCTTTATATTACACAAGACAAAAAGTAAACAGGTATATATTATTATTTACATATTTTAATAATAAAAATGTGTGTGAAACTGGTGTTTCGTGGAAATTCATTAATTATTGAGTTATGGTTTCATAGTTCTAGATGAACTAAACTAATAATTTTAACCAAAAAAAGTCTTTAAACTAAAAAAAACAAAAAAATAAACTGAGACGCCAGATTCACGCAGCATCTTTGTCCTACGCAAGTTTCAATCACAGATCTTGTAGGATTTTAAAAGATACATAATTCTAAATGAGTTCTAGATGAATTCTGATGATAAACGTCATTTTCAATTTTTAATGATTCTTCCCCCCAAAAATCACTTTTAGGAACCAAGATAAGACGCTGATCAATTTTCAATAGTTCTGTGAGTTCTATAGTAATTCTCGTGTAGTTCTGAACATATCCTAGATATTTTAATATAAATTCTATACTCAAACAATTACTGCATACGCAGTAATCGTGCAAAAATAAACTTTATAAATACAATGATGATTAAGGCAAACAGATTAGACTAAAAATAAAATTCTTTTGTCTAAAAAAGCAGTCTGATATATTAAATAGATAAGTAGAATCGAAACTTTACTCGCATTAAGCGATACGCACGCGTTATGAGATACGTTATGAGAGAAAAGAAAAGAAGGCACTAGCAAGAAAAGGAATGAAGAGAAAGGAGAAAAGGATATGGAAAAATAGAATGAAAGAGAGAGAAATGTGTGCAATCTCATAATCGTAACGCTGAATTCTCATCTTGCTTTAATCGATTTACGTGATAAGAAACGCTTAAAAGTGCAGTGTAATGATAATATTAATGCTATATCCTTACTTTAGATATAAATAGAAAAACAAGTGTGAAGAAAATCTGTTTGATAGGAATATTCTATTAGATAAGTATCATCACGAGATAATTCATATCTGTGTAACTGTAAAATCATTTCTTGATAAGCTATAATAAATGTAACGATGATGATATAAAAGAAAAGCGCACACGTGCTAATAATTTATTCCAAGTAGTCATCTTCCTATAATACAAAATATAAAATTCATTGTTGTCAGGATTAGAATCCAATAACCAGAAAGCATATAGTCAAATAATTGAAAATCAAATTAAACTTTCGTAATCATCCAACAAATTGGAAAGAGCATATTCGTATAAAAAAACCATACATTTCTTTCGTGATATTATCTACTCATTCTAGATTCTGGAAACCGTCAAGTATTAAATTGTATCGCTCGCAGATTCGTAGAAACAATCTTTGTCTTTCGCTGACGTTGATGATACGTAAAGAATACAGAATAGTTTCGTATGTTGCATTTACGTCTCTTTGGCTGATAAAAACTTATCTATTTGTGGACAGACATTTTTTCATATTTTAAAAGAAGTTGTCTTTTTCCAATGGCTGCAGACATCGCCGTACTCAAAGCCGACTCTATCAATACAAATATGATACATCATATCTCATTATCTCACGAAACTTTTCGCGTTTCCAAGATGATCGCGACTATGATTCGTGCCACGGTAGTGAAGTGAAACCAACATCCTCGTATCGTTGAACTTTCCAAGCAAAAGGTAATTAAACCACAACATCATCGCTGCGAATGATCATTCGCTGCGAATCATCGATCGAATACTTGCCTCCGTGACATCCATGACCTTGATGGCCGCCAACTGACCGGTTTTGGTGTGTCGACCCTATGAAACAGAAAAACGCGTTGTTATTATATCGTCCCGTTAAACGCATAAACATCGAGATAATGATGGAATAGCGTCATCACCGCACATGTACCAAAATTTATCTCCTAACATTATCTCCGACTTTAAACTTATCGTTTTATAATACGTCTCTCGCATAAATCAAGTTCCCACCGTCTACTCTCTCATCATTTATCCTTTTCATGTAAAACAACTATCCAACTTTCACTGTGATGTGGCTAGATATATAAACTATTATTATAATTATTAAAAGAAAATGACTCGAAAGCACAGATTTAACGTCAATGAAACAAAATACTACATATCTTGTTTCCCTCTGTTAAAAAAAATTTCATTTTTTTTCTAATCACCGAGAAATATATAAATAGACCAAAGGCGATGTATGCCACGGAAAAAGTGTCTCCGTGCGCTTTAGATGATGTCTTTTTTCAAATACTGTGTACGTAAATGTGGGTGACTTGAGACAGCATATATTTTTGTTAAATTTAATCGTCCTTGATTGAATTTAACAAAAATACATGCTGTCCTGAGTTATCTACACTTGTTTCACAAGTCATTCACATTTACAGTACATTGTTATGCAGACATTGTTTATGGATATGTGCCATTATTTCTTTTAAATGCAATCGGCTACAGTTTCTCTTTCTCTTTCGCTTCTAGATGAAAAGAAGATCCGGCTGTCTCTCTTCACCTCTGGAATCTCCATCTACGTATAGACGTAACTTGACTCGTATGGAAGAATTTAAGGAGATGCTGAAGTTGTCTTACCGATCAAATGCGCCTTACACATATACGGTTTACGATACAAACAAATGATTTATGAAACATATTGATACCACTATCAGGAATTGCGGGGAATTGAGATTATTAGATTTCAATAAAGGCTGAACCGATCAAGTTTTAAATGTGCTCAATCGATTGCATCCGCTCGGAATATATAATAAAAGTGTTTCTTCTCTACATGCCATATGAGGAGATATTGCGACGTAAAAAGCTCGAATGTGTCGAAACTTATTTCCTGATTTTTAAGATACGTCATTTTTGCCATGTTCATGTTCATCGGCCAGTTGAAAAATATTCGTTTTCGATAATAAATTTTTTCGATAATAGATAGCTTTTAACTTTATATCATCTATTTACTAACCAGCGTTGCACATGACCATACATGATAGTTCAGGAAAATTAGACAAAAATGGAGCAAATCTGTAGAAAAAATAGTAGTTAGAATTTTTGCATGCACCTTTATTTCGTCGTTCTAAACAATGCACAGTGGGCCAGGAGAAAACTGGCCGAAAGTGACCAAAAGTAATTGGCAGCGATTCAGAAAGGTTATTATTGTTATCTAAAGGAATAAATGTACATTTATGCAAAATTTCAGAATAATGCGATTATTAATTTTGTGTCTACATATGTTCTAATTTAGAAAGTTGACTACAATTGCCAATTGATGGTTTTGACGCAAATAGCATCCCTTGTGTAATATATATTTATTCTCTAATGTTTTGAATGTTATTTTATAATTAAAATCATGAAATATGATTTCTAAATCGTAATTCGCATAAGGAAGGTTCAATTTGTTTTTAATAGTACGATTTAAAGCATGCTCTTTTGCAGTATTGTGACATTAAATTATTGTATGTATCAATCAAAAATTTTCCGAAGTTTCATTGCGGAATCCGATTTTATAAATACTATTGTACTTCTATGTTGATTGACTTTCATATGTGCTGCCACTAGCTGTCCATTTTGATCCCAGAAATAATAATGGGCCAGGAAACCAGAAAAAGTGATCAAAAGTACTAAAAGTGCTCCAATTGTTGTTAAATTGAGTACTCAGAGGTTTTTGAGGTCGCTAATTTCGAATCTGAACTTAAAATTTAGAAATTCACAATGGCGGTACTTACTTAAAACGTTTTTATACATCTATATATATTGAATATCAAACAAATTAGTTTAAAAAGTAAAATTATTTTTTTTTAAATGATGTAAATTATTATTGTATAATAAATAATTTGTATAATAAACGCATAATAAAGTGAATAATAAATACACACACACGCACACGCACACGCACACACACGCACACGCACACGTACACGCACACACACACATATATACATAATGCATAATGCATTTACTCGTCTCCGTGGTGTTAGGTAAGTGCAAATGTTTGACAAAATTATAATAAAAATATTTTCTTTTTAATATACGAAATGTGTTTCATTTCTCTCTAATAAGTGACCTCGAAAACTGCCTTATACCGATTTCTGCCAAAATCTTTTGACATTCGAATCCGCTTTTTGAATTCGCCATTTTTTTTCAATAATTTTGATATCAGATTTATAATCAACGACTCTAAAATCACAATATCTTTCGTCAAGGTTTGACATTTTTTTTTAACATTCTATTCCATTCTGGATCCGCCATTTATAATATCTAAAATCTAAATTTTGAGTTTAGATTCAAAATCAGCGACCATAAAAGCCCCTAAGTATCAAATTTGACAGCAATTGGAGCATTTTTAGCATTCTCGTCCGCCATTTTGAATTTCTAAATTTTTTAGTTCGGATTCGAAATCAGTGATCCCACAAATCTTTAGACACCGAGTTTTATGTCAATCCATCAACATTTTGAATTTTGGCCAAGATATCGGGTCGTCTGGCCCACTGTGCAATGTCAAAAAAGTCCCCATTGATGTAAATACTTAAAATTTTATAGAGAATCAAATGTAAAAAAAAAAGATGTTCGCGAAATTGATCTCGAAATTAGTTCTACTACAAAAAGTTATTACAACATTTATAGACGAGGAAATTCTTTACAAAAAAAGTCCTACGAGATTTTTTTTCCTAGGAGCAACCATTTCCGTGTACTACGGCTTCGAAGTTTGAAGAGTCATGCTCTCAAAAACGTAATGCACTTCTTTCCACACTACTTCAGAGGTAGAGTACTAAGCGCGTTTTTTTTTTAATGTGGTTCGCCTGTAGACTTAATCCACAATATTTTTTTGAAAAAAAAAAATAAAATTAATTAGTTTCTTCTGTTTCCTCTTCTTCAAAATCAAGTGCTAACTCAATCGCTGTTGCTTCTGAATTAACTTCTTCGATTTCCATAGCTTTTACTAAGAAATCAACAGGATCTATTTCTTCATAATTGTTTACATAGCTATCTTGTATTGTATCTGTTGTATCGAGTGCTGCATTAAGACAAGACTGGTCATGATAATTACAACACACTACTGATCAATGCAAGCCATTTTCCTGCAGCCACAGTTTGCTCCACAGCCTTTGGAGCAATTGCAAAAAATCGAATTTAACAAAAATGTCTGGAGTAGATAGGAAAGTTTGAATTGGTTCCAAAATATTTGTTATCATTATCCATCTCCAGTCTTCAGGATTGAGCTCATAGCCTAGCCATTTTTGCACTTGATAGTACCTGATATAAGTGTTTCCGAGCAACACTAGATATTGGCGGAAGAGTGATACATTGAGAGAAAAATGTTTGGTATTTGTAATTATATATTACTATAATTATGATTATTATTGCTATAATAACGTAATAATAACAATAACTATGTATATAGTTCTAGCAACAAATGTGTGCAGTTGGCAATTTAAAATGACTATAATTATAATTATTATAACCATAAAAATAGTTGGAATTACCATAAAATTGATTCAAGTGATTATAATTTTAGTTATATTTTGGGACAATCATAAAAAATATAATTGTTCCTAAAACATTTTAAGCAAGGATTACATCGATGATGTGGGCGGCGAGGCACGGCCTCGTTCTGCTTAACAGAAGCCGTGCCAACACCTTCTTGGGAGCCTGGGGGAGTCCATCGTCGACTTGACGTGGGCGACTCCCGCGGCGGCCCCTGAGATCAAGGGATGGCACGTGAACACCGGCTCCCTGGGCGAACTGTCCTATCACAGTTTATATCCGCATGGAGCTGGTGTCTACCCCCGCGTAGACGCCACCGAGAGAAGGAGGAATGTCGATGGACCCTGCGAAAGTTGGACTCCGGCGCTTTCGAGATGAGCCTTCTCTCCTCTACTTGGCCGGAGCGCAACGCGGCCAACACGATGGAGGAGGAGGCCGAGTGGTTCGAGAGCGTTATGTTGCGCGCGTGCGATGCATCGATGCCCCGCTGCCGCCTAATGACGAGGAGGGCAATCTATTGGTGGTCTGCTACGCAGACGACACGCTGGTGGTGGCCGGGGGTACGACCTGGGAGAGAGCTGTGTGCATGGCGAACGTCGCAATGGCGTGCGTGGTCGGCTCCATAAGGGAGCTGGGTCCCCGCAAAAACGGAAGCGATCTTCTTCCATAACGGGAGGAGCGGGGTGCCCCCTCAGGCGCACATCGTGGTGGATGAGATTCGCGTCCCGATGGGGCCCACCATCAAGTATCTGGGCCTCACCCTGGATGGTCACTGGGACTTTGTCGAGCATTTCGACAGATTAGCTCCGCGAGCGGCCGAGCGGATGCCCTGCTCGGCCTCATGCCCAATCTTCGCGATCCGAATGCGTCGGTCAGGCAGGCGTATATGCACGCCGTCCTGTCCGGGGCATATTATGGGGCCCCGATATGGAGCGGGGAGGCCCTGGCCAATCGACGTATCCAAGGCAGATTGCACAGTGTGCAACGACGACTGGCCTTAAGAATCTGTAGGGCCTACAGGACGGTGTCGTACGCGGCCGCCGTGATCCTCGCGGGGATCCCCCCTGCCGAATATGTGGCTGACGCCCTGGCGAAGACCTAAGGCCATCCGGCTACGTGGGGGATCATAACCGTTGACCGACTGAGCGGGAAGGCCTGTCGGCGGGTCTTTCGGGAGTGGCGTGCCACTCTCGAGAACAACCCGCCGACAACGGACCGTGAAGGCCATCCTCCCCTGCTTAGAGGAATGGGTTGATAGGGGATGGGGCGAACTCTCATACTACATGACGCAGGTGCTCACCGGACACGGCTGTTTC